ATCAACTTCGTTCCCACATGAGCATCCATATTGGACACAAACAGTTTATGTGCCAGTGGAGTGGGAAAGCTTTTAATATGAAACAGTACTTTGATGAGCACATGAAAACGCACACTGGTAAGGCTACATTTTGATTTTTATCTTTATAAAAGACTACTGATGTAATAATTCTTAGGACAGTTAATAGATTAAGTTTATCAGCACATAAGCTTTTTTCTTCCATTAAAATCTAAATATAATGCTGTTTTCAGTGTAATTAAACAAGGATATTCTTATATTATCTGAATTTCAACAGTAGAAAGCAAAAAAAAAGGAGAATGAATTTCAGGAAATAAAATTGCACAATCTCTTTGGAAGTAGAAAGCTCTTGACACAATGCATGACAAACTCTTAGGCCAGAAGAACAATATATGTGTATATTAAAAAAGAACATAAAATATAAAAGGGATTGTATTAGATCCAGAAAGCAGTAGAAAGGCACTGGGAAAATTTAAGAAGAGGTGTTGATAGAGATGTGATGTGAAAGAATCAAATGCAAATGAAGTAAAAAAAGGAATGGGAGATTAAGAAAATGAAACATTGGAGCTAGAAATGACAAAGCATAAAAGCACGCACTGTATCAACTTCCTGCAGATCTGGTGAAATCTGTGAGGAAACCTGAATAAACTACAGTGAGGCAAGATATCTGATAAATTATGAGGAAGGTAACTTTGAATATAGAGAACCAAAATCTGGTTACAGGAGATTGTGAGCAGAAGAATTAATTGTGACTAAAGGATTATAGTCTAAGAATTCAAAACAAGATATAAAAAGATAATGTGGTTGAATAGTTGGATAAATAGTCATAGAATAAATAATAATAGGATGGTTATTAATGCTGACATTTCAAGTGAGATTGGAAATTGGAAAATGATTTAAAAATATATAAAAAGAAGGATGGATTGGAAGAAATTGTAGATAAATCTATATATGTTAAAGGTGAGGAAGGGAATGATATAACCCCGGAATGACGGTGGCGCGCAGAGCCATATCTGAGGGCACACGAGGCGTTGCCTTATGTCAGCACCAGCACGCATGCGTTCACTGGCCAACTGATTTTCAGCCTTCCAGAGGGTGTGGAGAGGGTGAAAAAATGGCCCAACGCCCACCGGAAATTCAGAAATGAACTTCCCCTGGGCCCGTTAGGCCATTTTTCACCCTCCCCAGGCTTGAGGAAAACCGCCTGAAGCCTGGGGAGGGCAAAAAATGGACCTAGCGGGCCCACTGGAAGTCAGAAAATGGGCCATTTCAGCTTCCAGAGGGCCTCCATGAGGGCATTTTCACCCTCCCCAGGCTGCAGGAAAGGCTCTGGAGCTGTGGAGGGCGAAAAATAGGCCCACCAGAAGTCAGGAAATGTGCTGCTTCCTCCTCCCCCTGGGTCGGGAGGAAACCATGCGCGCATTCATGGGGGTCAGCGGGGGGGGGAGTCTCGTGCATGTGCAGGTGGGCACAACGCAAGGGAGGCATTTAATTACAGGTGTGGGCACATCCGCGCGCGATAGCACACGCAGACACACTTTTGGCACCGAAGGGAAAAAAGGTTCGCCATCACTGGTATAACCTGTAGAACCAGAAGTTTGGAAGGACTGAGAATTCTTGGGTATAAATAAAGATAATGCATTGAGAGTTCTAACTTGACAAATCTGAGTTGAATTATGAACCCCAGCCAGAATAACCAACTATGGATGGTTTTAAAAATTGTATATCAGTAGTATAGATGAATCTTTGATAATTTCTTTGATTTAGGATTTGCTTTCAATTTTTTTTTAATGAAAATTGAATTTGATTAAAGGTGCCATTTTATAACTTTTAACAGGAGAGAAGCCTTTTATTTGTGAAATCTGTGGCAAAAGTTTCACCAGTCGCCCAAACATGAAGAGACATCGCAGAACTCACACAGGGGAGAAGCCGTATCCGTGTGATGTGTGTGGCCAGCGATTCCGTTTCTCCAATATGCTTAAGGCACACAAGGAAAAGTGCTTCCGTGTTACCAGTCCTGTTAATGTGCCACCCTCTGCCCAGATCTCACTTGCCACAACGTCATCTGCCACCACTGTATCTTCTGTTGCAAACACACCAAATCCACTTGCTCCCACTTCAGCAATCAATATGAATCCAGCGAGCACGCTTCCTCCTCGCCCAATTGGCCATCCATATTCTCATCTGCATCTTCATTCACATCATCAACATCATCTTCCAGTCCCTGTCCCTCCAGTCCCTCATTTGCCTCCACCTCCTGCTCTATTTAAGAGTGAGCCTTTAAATCATAGGGGCCAAGGTGAGGACAGTTTTCTGCGACACCTAGCAGAAAAAAACAGTTCAGTGCAGCACCACTAACTGCTTTGTCTTCTGCCTGCCATTCTCCTGGTCTTAACCTGGGATTGTGCAGCCCCCTAAGAAAAGGTACCATTGTGACCCCAAGTGAATTTGCATTAAACTTAGTTGTTCAGCAAAGTGACTATCCAACCTAGGGGAACCAATAGGACAGATACCCAATTTGACTTGCATGTTTTACTGTTGACTTTTATAAATTTCAAAAGGACAGAGAATTGTGGATTTTTTTATAATTTCATATCAGCTAATGAGGTATGCTTGCTTTTGTATTCTGGATTTTCTCCTCAAATTGGGGATGAATCTGGTTTCCTTTGTACTAATCAGAAAGACTGTGAGACTAAATCCCAGAGCATTAATGATCACTGTGTATTGTTAATTTCTTTTCTGCTCTGTATGTGTGTGTGAGAGAGAGTTTGTGTGGGTGTGGGTGTGCTGGTTATGGAGTGAACCAGCCACACGATTGCAGAATATGAAGCATAGGAAAAACAACAACAATAGTAAACAGATTTTAATCTCATTTGAATAGTTCTCCTAACACACTCTTTATTTTATTATAAAAATTATTTTAGAGTTTTTGTATAGACCTATTTAGTAGCCTGTTTCTAAAATGAAATGTATTTCGAATAAGCGATGTAATTTTTTTCAGTGTAGCTGGACCTATGTTGTTACAATAGATAATTTTTATAATCATTCAAATGTGATTCTTTTAAGAAAAAAGATGCAAATAGCTTCTATAGTAAAAATTATTCTTACATCTGTACTGCTCTAAAAAGGTGCTTTGGCGTATAAAGGAAGAAGCCCAAGAAGTCTCTTGTAAAGCTGCCTCAGAAGTGGAGATAATTTGAGAACTTTATATAACTTATTTGTAAGGGGAGGGGAATTTTTACTGTGAGACATATCTTCTTTCCATGTCACTTGAGGGCGATTAGATAAGGACCTTGAACTACTGTATGCCCCAAAATTTCACTTCTGTTATACTGAATCATGAAACATTTCAGAAAGGATTTCTCTTAGATAGAGTGAAAATTGCACATGAGGAACAGTCTCAACCAAATATGGTTTCAAACATAGTATGCTATCTTATCACGGGCATACCTTAGAACCTAGTTCATTATAGAGACGTGTTTAAGGTATGAGTTAAATTGGGACCGATTTGATGCTGCTTGTTTTTTCTTAAGTTTGTTAAGCGATAAGCAAGGGAACTGCAAACTAAATGCAATTTAGTTGGATCTGTAAAAATTAAACCTGAATTAGGCAAACGTGTGTGAAAACCATTGTCAAAATGGCTGAAAAAATGAATATCATGGAATATGTGCATACGCTAAAGTTGTGTAAAGGATAGATAGTACTGATTATAGGGGATAATGTCTTTCAGGTTTGACCATGTTCCACAGATAAATGGAAAGAAATGTTGAATGTTAAGCAAGTTGGTAATTGTATTTTTCTCAGTCTGCAACGGGTCTAAGTTGTGACAAATAAAATCATAGTAATTAACTTTGGATAAAGTACAGCACCATTTAAGGATCTACTTAGTACCTTGAGGAGAAGGCATAGAAATTCCTTTATACTTAGAATCTAAATTTTTCTAAGTTTAATTTTCATGCTCAAAGACCATCATGCTGATTCCTAGGATATTATTCTGCCTTGAAAATTAGACTTTAAGTTTAATTTAGAAAGGAATATTACCTTGGATGAAACGGAAAGCCCTTGTTATTCATTCCCTTAGGCTGCTGGTTGTGTTTCCGCCTTTTATTAACTTTGCATTAAAAATAAAATAGCTGACTTTTCGGTATCTATTCATATTTGACTGAAAACTTCTTAACTCCTTTTTCTGAAGAAAAAAAAAGTATTTTTAAAATGTTGTGGTAACATTTATTTGTTCCTTCTCCTTTTTTAGGCAATAAAGCTAACTATAAAAATGATAATATTTAACAGTTCACTATCATCTACTATCTTGATTGGTTTTATACATTCCATGTCATCTTGTAAAATTGCAGTTCTGTATAGAATGCCACAGGCCAACAATGTGGCCTGTAAAATCCACTGTTCCAAATTTAAAGGAAAAAGTCACACCTGATAAATCAATTGTAATCCAATTTGCAAAAAGAATTTTTTCAATAAATTTACAGTATTTGGCTGCTATTTATGAATCCTACTACTTGAGAGGAGTGTATTTCTGTGCTCTCTGTTCTAAAAGTTAACATCATTCATTTCAGAGCTGTGAACGAGTAAAGGGAACTAGAAAAATGAGTCAAGTACCATTGAAGTTTCTTCATTCTTGTGTGGATGAATTTGCATCTATCCTATTGCAATATTTAAGACTTCTTTTTAGAAATAATTTGGTTCATTGCAATGTCATCCCTGTAATCACAATCATTAATGAGTATGAACTGATAGAGGTCTGCACTTTTGTCTTTATGCAATGTTATAGAATACTTTTCATTTTCATTTTAAAAATATTTTCAAAACACAAACATCATAAATGTGTAGCCATTCAGAATCCATTTCAAATATGTGGTACGTAAATGTGTCATTCTTAGCATTAGTTTTGACTGAATTTGTCAAGCACTTCACAAAATTGCAATGCATATTGAAGTTAAATATGACATTGTGTAGCTCTTCAGAGACACATACAATTTCAACATATTAACAGTTGTGAATTTCTATTCATTTGCTAGTCAGTGACTGTAATAAAAAGGCCTATTTATTCTATTAGTTTGTTTTTATACTTGCATTTTAGTAATTAATCCCAAAGGAGGATCTAAAAATCAAGCAAGAACATTGATTTTTTCAAGGGCTAATGAATTGTTTTTAAACTGCTGTAAGATGATTGATTTTGATACTAGAATACAGCATATGTGACTCCCTCTCCAGAAAAATGATACTTAAACCAACCCCCTGAAAGACTAAAAAAGGCAATTGTACAAAGTTGTAAGAACTATTGTTCAGTTCAATTCATAACAGCAAAAGAAAATCAACTTATTTTCTTCCCATTACTGTATAGATAGTCCTCAAAACAATTTAGTGACCATTCAAAATTACAGTGGTGCTGAAAAATGTGATTTACAAACCAGTTCTTATACTTACGGCTGTTGTAGCCGTTGCAGCATCCTTTTGGTCATGTGATCAAAATTTGGACACTAGGCAATCAATATATATTTATGATGGTTGCAGCCTCCCAGAGTCAGGTAATCCCTATTTGCAGCTTTCCTACCCACTTGAGACCAAAGTCAGTGGGCAAAGCTGGACTTAATCATATGATTCACTTAATCACAGTAATTTACTTAAAGATCACAGCATAAAATTGGATGCAACACTTAAAAAACCACTTCACATAGTGACAGAAATTACAGTACCAATTGTTATTGCTAATCGAGGATTACCTGATATTAAAATATGCTTGATTTGGAAATAAATCTTTACTCTGGCAATACAAGTATTGCCTTGTTATATATCTTGTATGATTTGAAGATTTGATGGTTGGATTTAATTTTAATTTCACAATGAGTGAAACAGTAAGGAATATTCCTTTGCTGATTTGCCTTAGTGGAATATTTAACATTCTCCAAAAACTAAAGCAATGGAAACAAGAACAACAAAAGAAATCAAACTGTGGAAACTTTTCTCTCACATTCTTCCTTTACCATGAGTTGTCTGTAAAGTTGATATTTTTCTACTTACCAATCAACTTAGATTCTTGAATGAGAATGAATGAATGAATGCTCTTAACAGTTTGATTTTCAAGGTGGCAACAGATGGCATTTTAATAAGGTTGAAGAACAGATTGGAGAGGTGAGTTAACAATGACATGTTACAATTTTGTCAGTGTATTGTAGCATAAATAGATCATGTGCATGCTTAAAAGGAGAATTGTACAGTGTTCTGAGGTAGGTGGGTTTTTGCATAAATAATGATGGGTAAGAACTTTAGTACAAATGTCAACATACATGTTGGCTGCGACTGCAAACAAATTTGCAAAAATTAGAAACTCTCTGCTATGCTGTTTTCTGACACGAAGTCTGTTTGCTTTGGCAGGTCTGCTATGTAGTGCTGAATGCATTCCCTGTTCTTTCTAATAATTCATATATCTCCCTAAACAAATAAAGTGTAAACATTCTTCTACAAACTTAGAAAAAATGTTTTTCTCATTCACTATAGTTTTATATTTTTCCAGATGAAAGAATTTCTTTGAATTAATTATTTGCATACTAACAACCTTTCTGTAGTGACCTTCTTAATTAAATATGTATTCCTCTATAACGTATCTTAAGTGAAATGGAATAAGTTAAATTCACAGTCATAGTCTGTTGGACATATGTAATATTTCTTTTTGCTCAGTTAATATAAATTATTTCTGCTAATGTTATTTTCTGTTCTGACAGGCTGAATTAGATGCTAAACTACTCTTTACCACTGCTACCCTGCATGCAAATGAAAATCTAATGTCCATTTAGCCACCTAAAATCAAAACTGATTCAAAGGCAAAAACAAAAACTAGGTAGCAAATGAGCATGAGTTGCTTGAGTATTTTTGTTCTTTTTCATTTTTGTTGTATTAACTTTGCTGTACTTCCTTGAATCATCTGACTCTTGATGACTGCATGAATATATCTGTATAGGTTTTGTTTGACAATGAATTCTGAAATGACTTGCTATTGTCTTTTCATTGTGCTAATTTACACTTTGTAGAGATTTGCAATATTGCTATAATGTTGTTAGGAGAACAAAATATTTCAGAAAGTAGAGGTAGGCACTGGGAAGGCACATCGTTGAAGTCTCATAAAGTGGCAGCGGCTCAGTGAGGAGATCTGAAGTTTCATCAGTCTTCCCTGATGAAATATGTGGGTGGGACAGATATCTTAGGAAATAGGCAGTTCCATTAATAATCTGAAATTGGGTGTTGAACAGCACCTTTAATTGCATCTGAAAGCCTATGGGGAATAGGTGCAGCTTGTAAAATGGATATATCATGTGGCCATAACAGGAAATACCCATAATTAGCTATACAACCACATACTGGATTATCTTCTAAAGTAGTTTAATTGGGGGTGGAGGGGTGGACTAGATAGATTTTTTTTGTAAGATGGACAAGAGTATATGGAACACTAGTGCAGTGCTTTTTCCCTGAAAAGGAAGCTTTTCTGTTGTTGACTGGAATGTGTTATACATATACACTGTATTGTTTTATAAAAAAGTTTGTCTTCTGCTTGGCACTGTTAAAACCTGGAGCAGAGAGGCCATCTTAATCCCTACTGAGAAAGAATACTTAAGAACTTACATGCAAATTTAATTGGATTTAAAACAATAAGAAAAAAGATGCATTTATGAAGCAGTTTTTGAAATGAAAAGAAACAGGACCATCTTATATGTGAAAACTAAAATGTAATTGAAATATGGTTTTCTATGACTGCATACTGTACCTCTCTCTTCTGTCCACCTATTCTATATGTCCCTTTCTGTTTCCCTGTGAATTTTTTCCCATCGGTGTTCTTGCTGAAATATTTCAAATGCTGTGAAAATTAAAAATTGGATATTATTTTTGTTGAATTACATAGTCACAACTATTTTATAATGTATGCAACCTTTAGTATAATTGATAGAAATATTATTTCAGCTTAACTGAGATATTTTCCTTGGCCTGTAGAATCCTGTATATAACTGAGAATGACTTCAAAAGAAATTGCTGGTTTGTGCAATTTGTTCTTTTATTCTTTGTATGCTTAATAGATATATAGACAAATGCACACTGAGGGACCAAGCAATTCTGCTACTGTGATACTAAACAAATTCTAGTTAGATAGACATTTAGGCAGATATTCCAACAGCATTTCTTGATTATTTTTGAACTTCCATCTAACAAAACAGTTGCAAGTTAATGTATCATTTTCCCCTCTGCTGGGAGCAGCTTACTTTTTATACAAAAGGTTCTTTTTGTCTTTTGTGTAACTGAAAGCTTCCTGGGAGAGAAATATGGTAATCTACTGTTTGAATATTCTACTGCAAGAAATGCAAGAGTAGGGAATGGCAACTAGGCAGAAGAGATAAATATCTGCTTTGTTACTACAGTGCCAGCTTTCTTTCATCATTTTTATATAAATTTAAATTCTAAATTCCATGACAATATGTTTTTCTATCCAGAAGAGCACATGCCCATAAAAGAGAACTGTCATTATTTTTTTTCAAAAAACCTAGTTGTTATTTTTCCTCCTAAAAATTAAATTAGCATTTATTTGCATACTTTCTCTTTTTTCAAAAGTGCATATGCATATATGTGTTTATGTGTTAACAATATTTTTTTTATTTTAAATCTTCATTTGGATAAAAATAACATGATCATAGGCATTGTGGCTCCTGACTTACTGTGTTTTGACATGTTGAAATCTAGAAGGTTTGCTTTTATTTTTCAGTTATATCATCGACCACAACTGGATGTCTTAGCAGTTAAGCTACATTTGACTTTGCCTTGAACAGATAAAAATGTAACAGGAGTTTTCTGTAATTCACACCAGAAAAACATTTAGCATTCTGTTTCCCCAATGGCCGTCCACTTGGGGGAATCCATGTGCAAATCACTAAAGATTAGTTCTGTGGTTCTTCTGTTGTATTCAAAGGCGTATTGGTTCCACAAATTAAGTGTAACTCCGGACAAGTTAAACAAATCACTGAAGGAAAAAGCAATTGCTGTAAGAATCTCACTTTTTAGTAAAAACTTCAAAAAGAAACCCTAGTTAATTTGTAGATATATATGAAGAATATCTGTTGGATAACAAGAAAGACTAGAGTGTAAAAATGAAGCTTTTGTATATCTATTTGTGATGCGGATGTTTTCAAAATTGCCTGTGTTTGCTTTCACTTTTTAATACAAATTTATTTATCAAAATTGTGCAAGAGAAAATAGTTATGAAGAATGCAATTCAATGTTCCATACATTTTTGAATCAGTGATACTTTTATAAGAGCAATTTAAAAATAGATTGCAAACCCAAGTTTTAGTATTCAATATCAAATCCTCTTCATGCAAAATCAAAGTATAAAGTTATGTCCTTGCATTGCATTATTAAACTTGCCCATTTTTGTTTTGTAACATTTCATACCTAATATTAATCAACAATTGTGCAATCCTTTAATAATATTTTAATATTTATCTTCTGAAGGGGGAAAAGATGCTTCTTGTATATATCCTGAAATCTATTAAATAGTGGGATTGCTTTTATTTAAAATACCAAACTGTTCCTTGTTTTAAATTGTAATTCGATTCAGAATACTGAAAGCCAGCTGTGTGACTTTGGACTAGATACTCTCTCACCACACAATCCACCTCACAGGGGTGTTGTGGTGGTGAAAATAGGAAGAGTAAGCGTGTTGGATATGTTCACTGCCCTGAATTATTTGTAAAAATAACAAAGGTGGGATATAAATAAATAAAACAAATAAAAAATTAATCTTTTGAACTGCAGCTATCCAAAATGAAAATTACATGGAGAATCTCAGAAAATTACATTCCAGTTTGTCCAATGCTTCATCTATCAGATTAATAGCAATAAGAGTATTATCTACCAACAAAAAGCTAAACAAAAACCTAATAGCATATTGAATTTTTAAAAATCTACTTTGTAGATTTGTTCCTTGAGTTTTTACGCTGAATGAGGTCTCAAGTCAAATCTTCTTCACAGTGCACAAATTCAAATTAAAAGTTCCCTGTAGGTGACTGGTACCCTCTGCTTGAATACATCCAGTTCATTAGTAAGTTCGTTAATTCTGAAGGCTTTTTAAAAACAATACTCATTGAATTCAGCCTTGCAATCAATATAAAATCATTAATTCATATTTTCCATTCTGAAGTAGCAGAGTTGAACACTGCTATCATACCCTTTGTTACATTTGCCCAAGGCTAAACATACCAAATTCGTTAAACCCAGCTGCCAAAGACTCAACATCACTACTCATTCTTGAACTATTTCTAATTTCTCTAGTTGTTTATTAATTTGTAGTTTTCAACACTGAATCAACAGCCTTACATTTGTCTCCATAATTTTTTTCTATGTTAGCTTGTTTTTCTATCCTGTCATTATTTTGGAAGATATTTTTGTCATTTCAGGTTTCAGATATAATCCCATCTGGTTAATGATATCTGCAAGTGGGGAAAGTGTTCCATCCACCTCCTTAAGTAATTTATAAATGAAATCCTTTATTACAGTTGATGACCAAGATGTAGGTACAACTCAGTAGAAGTATTATAGAGGGAAGGGGATAAAAGTAGCCAATTTACACAAAAAGAAGAAAAAAGAAAGGCAAAAGCAGCATGAAAGAACAGGAGTACCAGATCATACTTAAAATATGTAAGACAAAAAAAATGGGAGGAAATGCTTAACTGAAGTATTTACACATCCATACTGTTGTGTGACAGTCTAGTAGAGTAGTAATTAATACAAACGTTTAAACATAGAAAACGAAAGATTGAACTAGTAGCCCCTTGCTCAGTACCTCAGTCTAGTTTGATCAGAAAACAATAAAACCAGCTGTGTTTTCACTTAATTATATGCATCACCCCTCATTTAAATAGCTTCCTAATAAAATACCAAATGCTTTAATGAAATCAGAGGGAACATCAGAGTTCACCAATGTGGTTACAACTCACTTCAAAGTCATAATCGTAAGCTAGCCGCCAAATACTCTTATTGTAATGATATGACCATGTGACAGCAGGAACTCCCAGGAGCTATAATACATTCCTTTCATTCAGCATTTTAGTAATTTCAAGTGATTGCAGAGTAAATGGTTGCAACATGGGGACTGACTATAGTTAAAAGGAGATAAAGTTAATCTAGCAAAATTTATTGCTGACAAATTCATGTTGAGTTCTAGAATTCACTACATTGTTTTCTGCATATCTATTTTTCCTAGATATTTAAAAAATAAGCTCAGTGTTTTCAAGGCAGGTTATTCTTTCAGAAAGTAGCTTTGCTGCATAATTGCTGCAGATGGAACTTGCACCTCACCAAAGTAAAATGGCTTGCTTGTTTTCATGGTACCAAATATACCTGCAGATAAACTGAATATTGTACATGTTAGAATACACCTTAAAAATTGGGTTCAGTTTATCCAGAGATGGGTTTATCTGCAATTGTATTGACAATGCTTTTTAAAACCACACATATATCTAATTAATATCTGTCTGAATAATCTGACTTTATTAATTAAGCCAATTGACCATTTCAAATAAAAAAACTAATACAAAAATACAAGAAAACAATACAACATGTTTATAATAAGTCATCACCCCTACAGATAATCCCAATCTGATTTGTCATCTTCAAAATGGCCTTTGAAATTAAGAGTGAACTTTTATTAGTAATTTGCAGGTTCATTCCCTCCAAAAAGTAAGGGTTTCTCCCAGTGCTCCAATATTATTTAGTTTTTAAGTAAGATTCTAAGTAAGCAGCCCTTTCTGAAGAGTGCAGTTTGCAACTCACAAGAATGTATCCAATGTCTTCTGTGGCTGGTGCTGCAAATGCAGTCTTCATGCTCCCATGTCTTACCATCGAGTTCAGATGTTTGAAGTGAGCTTTACAAAAAGCTCTTCCAAGATGGTGAGGCATGTAGATCATTAAAAAAAATTTCTAACTGGGAGACTGATTTGTCATGACCCAGCCACTTCTAAGACTGTATATAAAGTGCTGCAATATCATATTGGACAACCACATTAATAATTCTTTGTTTGAAAGCTTCCTTGGCCTATAAGAAGAGTCCATATTGAGAGGTGGCATTTGAAAGTTTAGGTTTAGGTTTATTATTTATAGGCCGCCCTTTTCCCTGAGGGGACTCAGGGCGGCTTACAATTTATAGGGAGGGGAATACAAAACAATAAGACATAAACAATACATAAATTAAAATAGAACACAACATTCATTCATCATTCGGGTGGGGACGGATTACGATTTTTATCCCCAGGCCTGGCGGGATAGCCAGATCTTGAGGGCTGTGCGAAAGGTCTGGATGGTGGTGAGGGTACGAATCTCCACGGGGAGATCGTTCCAAAGGGTCGGAGCTACTACTGAAAAGGCTCTCCTCCTTGTAGTTGCCAGCCGGCACTGGCTGGCAGATGGAATTCGGAGGAGGCCCAATCTGTGAGATCTAATTGGTTGCAGGGAGGTAATTGGCAGAAGGCGGTCTCTCAAGTTGGATGCCCTAAGTGTGAGGTTGCATATTGTGCAACTGTTCTTCAAAACAGTTTGGGTAGTCTATCTGGGTTCCCTGCATAGGATCTTCAGCCAGTAATTAAATAGCTGAATTATTAAATGACTTTGTACAAAGGGTATGTCCCTTACTGGAGGGACTGGTGTAAACTAATTCATCCCCAAGAAAT